CGATTTTTCTATGCAATGTGCCCTTTTATGTTTCTAAGATCTTCTTTTGCAGAATAATATTTTGGGCTCTATTAGTTGTATGGTTCCTAACGGGAGAAACAATTTTTTGTGCAAATTTCCATTAATTGCAAACTTGTATACCAATTGTCGATAGAAACTTTGTAGATTTAGTTCTCGGAAACCGTCGTTGACAATCTTTGCACAATGTTAGCAAGATATTCCTCCTCAGGCACTTTTTGTAATCTTTTCGCTGTAATTATATCTAGCAATGACCGTATTGTTTGAATTTTTTTTAAATCAGTCGCTCCAGGTTTCTTTCATTCTTGTTAATAAAATGTTGCTGAGACGTTTATTTCCTCGAACTTGCACGTCATCACTGAAGCCACAATTTCTATTTATTATGTTCCATCCTTCCAGTAATGCCTTATACTTGGCGGATGAACAACTGCCATATAAATCAGTATATCAATACATTTTCGGATGTCTTCATGAATGACTTCATTGTGGCATTGAGGAAATTTTCCATCACGTTTATGGCTCATGACGAAAAAAGATATTTGAAAATGCTATGGGAGAATCTAGTTTCATTATTTCTTGTGGAAAGGTTGAACATCCAAGGAAAGAAATCTGCGTTTCATCATATTGAATGCCATCATCAGTCCAAAGTAACTTAACCTTCTTCTTTTTTTGTTTGATGAAGTTGCTGTTGAAGTCGATGGTTGATTGCTCAACGCATCTTCTTCCACTTAGCTTTCATCATTAGATTCAACATTACTATTAGATTCTTGATCACATTCTGGTATTAAAACATGTTGTAATTGTTTTGAGACCAAAATATCCATTATCATCGGACACATTTTCATAGTCGCTACTATCCAGGATGATCCAAGGTTTAATTCGAGTTTGGTTTCGGAGTTTTCCTTAAAATAAAAAAGCTACATTATTAACACGCACTGCACGATGTTTCAAATTTGGTTTTGACTAGACTGCATGTTCCTAAATTGACATTACTAACAAAATCTTTACTGAATAGTATTCCATATTTCACCCATTACATAATGACGCAAATATTGTTACTAACTTTTAATAAAAAAAAAACTGTGTAAGATTTACAATCTACCATTTAAAAATTAACTCGCAGGCAAAATGGCGGACTCGACTTTACGAATTAGATGTATTCCATGTTAAAATCTTGTAACATATTTTGTATGTAGCATTTCTGGTATACGACTGCTTCGTTGGTCTAGTGGTTGTATTAGTGCGACTGCTGATCATGAGGTCCTGGGTTCGAATCCCGGATCGGGCCAAAGAATCAGTTATTGAGAAATGAAATGTAATTAAAAATGAAATGTAATAAATAAAATGAAATTATTGAGTTTTTCCGTCAAGAAATTTTCAGTAGCTGCCCGGAGGCAGGAAGTTGGCGGTGTCTCACCCCCGTGCCTCGGAAAGCACGTAAAGCCGTTGGTCCTGCGCCTGATCTCTCTCCGGTCGTGTCCCATCGGATTATGACAATGAAGGAATAGAGAGTGCACCTGTGTCTGCGCATACACTTGGGCACTATAATCCTGTTCTGCGCCGATGGCTAGTCTCCGTTGAGGCTGGCCGTCGTGACCGAAATTCGGTCTGGAGGGTTATTATTATTGGGTTATTAATAGAGTAATCACATCTGGTTGGGCTGGATAAATATATAAAGGGAAAAATAAATATACTTAAATATATATTTAATATACTAACATAAATAAATATATAATACTTAAATGAATAAAAGCCCAACTAGATGGAAGCCCTCGGGAGGGGAGACCAAACGGCCGAGGGTTAGGGGGAAAGGGAAAGAAACCGGTGGACGATGCGGGCGGTATCAAGGAGCACCGCCTTCTGCATTTGGCCCGGCGGTCAGTCACGGAGTCCGAGTCGCCTCAGATGGCCCGAGAGGCTGGCTGGGATTAACCCGTTTGCAGACACGACTACAGGAATAATTTCGGTCGGCAGACCACCCCATATGTCGGTCACCTCGTGAGCCAGGTTCAGATATTCTAATTGCTTGTCTGTTTCGGCTTTCACGAGGTTCTCGTCATACGGAATGGTAATGTCGACCAAAAATATCCTTGACTGTGCCCGGTCCATCAGCACAATATCAGGCTTATTCGCAAGAATAGTCCTGTCTGTGATGATGGCCCGGTTCCAGTAGAGCCTGGCGCGGTCATTTTCGAGCACGGCTTCCGGCAAGTACTTGTAATACGGCAATTTACCGTCCACGAGATCGTATTTCAGAGCGAGCACCTGGTGTAGAATTCTGGCTACTAGGTTGTGCCTGTGCAAGTACTCAGAGTTAGAAAGCGCCGAACAACCAGAGATGACATGCCTAAGTGACTCCCCGGGATGGCGACAAGCTCGACAGACGTCGACAGTGCCATCCTTTAGGATGTATCTCCGATAGTTGTTGGTCTTAATAACCTGATCCTGTATTGCACAGACAAAACCCTCGGTTTCCCTGAAGAGGTCACCGAAACGTAGCCAGTCAACACAGCGACAATTAAAAACTAAAGAACCTAACCTAACAACAACGAAACAACAAAAATAGAACAAAAACGAATAATTTATTTAAAATTTTAAAAGATATTTACAGTTTTATATAAAAAAATATGAAGATGATGATGATGGGTGACGTGAATTACAATTATTTTTTTTAAATAATAAAGATAAGTGAGTACTGAAACGGAGCCCGAAGACCAAAGTGGCACACCGCGCTTGGCAGTGGTGCTCACCGCTCACGGAGTATACTCAGGCTATGCCAGAGGTAGGTGCGCAGCGCCTGATCTAGGCACACGCAGCGTCTGGAGAAGGCACACGCAGCGCTTGGAGTAGGCACACGCAGCGTCTGGAGTAGGCACCACAGTGCCTTGGTAGATGCTCTTAGCGCCTGAAGTAGGCGCTCGCAGCGCCTGGAGCAAGCACGCACAGCGGCTAAAGATAGCGCGGGCACTAGTAGGTGGAGGCGTAGGCGTGGCTAGGCGACGACTTCAGGTGAAGGCAAAGGCTTGCAGGATCCCGGGGCAATGAGGCCCCGGGATAAGGCCTTTAGGAGATGCTTCTAGTTTGAAAGCTGAAGCGAGACTGACTTTATTGGCCAATTGTTCGGCTTTTATACTTTTTTTAGAGAGCTCCGCGCTCTACGACGGATCTGAGATAAGAACGGAAAATTATTTAAATTAAAAACAAATTTTTGTAGATGGCCAAGAAGAAAAGAGTATTTTTGTGGAAGTTTTGAAGTAAAAACATCAGACCGGTAACGAATTTGAATAAAAATTGCCATGACAACCAGATAAACAACGATGTCAAAACATGTCAAATTTTGGTTTCAGGCTCGTAATAGAGAAACGGCAAGATTTAAGTGAAAAATGAGATATTATTGATATAGAAAAAAATAGCGCAACAGCGCGCACGAAGCCCGAAATTGCAGTTACGGAGAACTAAATAAAAGATCGAAAAAGGTAAACTCCATCGACACCGATTTAAAAAGTGCTGATAACGTGAAAATACGAAGTGAAAATGATTTGTTATTGTGTTCTTATGGCTTAAAAACGTTACAGAGTCCTATGGAAATAAAGGTGATGCAAAATATCCAGTTTTGAGGTGAATGCAGAAAATCAAAAACAGAATGGAAAAATAAATTTAAAATAGTGTAAAATGATATGTAAATAGCATAACACTACACAGTTGAGGGAGGCGACTGTATCTACGAAGGGCTCATGTAGAGCCCTGTAGTACCTCACGTGGAGCTCCTTCTCCTTCCATACGGTCTCCCGGTCGGAAATGCTAAGCACTGCTGGGTCCTGCCATTGCTCGTTGGCTAAGGATAGAGGGGTAAGCCCTTTATCACTAGAAATGAAGTCATTATAGAATGGATCATCTGATCTCGCCAGGAAGTAATGACGGAGGCTAAACACTTCGTGATTATGCGATTATGTGAGCGCGCTCAGAAAACCACGCCCACCATGCTTTCGCGGCAAGTACAGCCTCATTACAGACGATCTCGGATGATGCATCCTATGGGACGTCATGGTAGTGCGGACTTTTCTATCCAGGGCTTTAAGTTCAGTCTGGGTCCACCTGAGTATGCCAAAGGTATACATGAGGACAGGCATGACCCGACTGTTATATGCATGTGTCTTATTCACACCGGACAAAAGGCTGTTAAGCACTTTGGTCAAGCGTGTATAAAACACGTCGCAAACTGACTGTTTCATACCAGCCTCATCGATACCGATGTTCTGTGACATACCCAGGTATCGGTATGTTTCAGCCTCGGAAAGGGTGCTTAAGTTGACGGGCATAGATAAGTCTATGCCCTCAGAGTTATTAACCCTTCCCCTTTCAACATGGAGGACCGCACATTTATCCGTTCCCAGCTCCATTCCAATAGAATTGCTAAATTCACAAGTGATGTTTAGCAATTCCATAAGATGGGAGCGACTGGAGGCGAATAACTTGAGGTCATCCATATAGAAAAGGTTTCACTTTTGTACCTCTTTTTCGAAGCTGAAATCCCCTCCCGGAGCCCTCTAGTAAAGTACTGAGAGGGTTCAGAGAGAGGCAAAACCAGATTGGACTCAGACAATCGCCCTGGAAGATACCCCTTTCTTATCCTTATGTGGTTCACCGCAGCCATCATCCGCTCGCCCAGATAGCAAAGGATCGTACTCCATTGCCCCATATACTGCTCGAGGAAGTCTCCAACTGTACAGTCAATTTTGTACAGCTGGAGGGTTCTCTTTAGCCATGTATGGGGCACCGAGTCGAATGCCTTTCTGTAGTCTATCCAGGCGGCGGAGAAATTCCGACGGTTGCTTTTCACCACTTTGCCAATGACCGCGTCAATGAGGAGTGGTTCCTTGGTTCCACGACCATCGCCCCGACATCCAATTTGAGAGCGTGATATCACCTGATTTAGCTCCAGGTGACGAGTGATTCTCGCGCTCAAAATGGATGTCAGTGTCTTATATATGGTGGGTAGACACGTGATGGGGCGGTATTTGCTCGGGGTCTGTGGTATCCTGATCTTTAGGAACCAAATGAGTGATCCCAGTAGTGAAGAGGCTCGGGAGCGACTTCTGATCGAGAGCCTCTTGAAACTGTCGGGCGAGCACAGCGTGACACACTACGAATCCCTTCAGCCAGTAATGATGCAGCTCGTCGAACCCCGGAATTTTCCAGTTCGGGGCCCTACGGACCGCCTCAGCCACGTCTTCAGGCGTTATGGTGACGGGGTCCATAGGCGTAACACTTGCACTCTGGCTCGCCACAACTTCCATCCAAGGGCCCTCGCTGTGGTTTACGGGCTCTGACCACAGGCGACGCCAAAATGCGACAGTGTCAGCCTGATCAGGTCCTGGGCCCGCTCCAAATACCTCTGGTCGTTCCAATGATTTATAGAGCCTCTTCTGATCACTCTGGAAGAGACGATTCTGGTTGAACCGCCTTGACCTTTCGCTAAATCGTCGAATCCGCTTCCCCCAAGCAGCGATTTTTTATTTCAGGTCATCTATGCGCTCCGTTAGTTTCTGCGTGATATCCGGCTGGGACAAACTAAAATTTGTCCCAGCAAACGCCATTCTAACGGTGCGCACAACTCTCGGTCTATTATTACCCGACCTGAAGCTTGTCAGTCTGCCGATAAGGGCCCTTGCCTTTGCGATACGGTCCTCAATTCTTTTTCTCCAGGCTGAGATCGCGCTACTTTTTTGAGTAGCACGTCCAGCCACGGGGAGTTTGGCGCCAATAATACGGCATACTACCAGTGCGGCGCCAAAGAGAATTGAGTCCGTCTCGCAAAAGTCCCGGCTGGCTTCCAAATAGCTCACCAGCATTGGTTTAAGAGCCCGCACGACAGCCCGATTTCGCTTGCTAAGGGGTATGCGAGGAAGTCGCGGTCGATTTTCGAGAGGCATGCTGCGCGTTTCCAGCATCGACTCTTCCAATATGCTCCTCATTTTCTCTAGTTCGTGGGAGACTATTCCATCACCGTCTGAATTAGCCACAAATGGAATGTTGACGGCAGCATCCACATATGCAGTTTGTTGCGCATCTAGTGGCGCCGCATTGCCAGCCGTAGCATTTCCATTCGATGAACGAATAGCCGCACGTCGTAGTCGTTCGAGTTCGGCGTCACCAAATATGTTGGAGCGCAGGATGTACCGAACTCTGTCTGCCAAGTTTTGCTCAGTGACGGATAGAGATGGCTCCACTTCTGCAAAAAAGCGATGCATCCGAGCCCGATACGCCAAACATTCAGTTTCTTCCCCTTTTGCCCTAAAATTTTTACAGGCTGCGATGACCAATTGTCCAATTGGTCATCGCAGCCTGTAAAAATTGTATTATGTTTGGGTGTCTTTTGTATATTTCTAAAATTTTTAAGAACCAAGTGTGCGGGATTGAGTCATAAGCTTTCTTATAATCAATGTACATGCTAAATAAATCTTTTCTTTTTGATTGTACCTGCTTTAATACTACTGCATCTATTGTGAGCTGTTCTTTGCAACCCTGACTAAATTTCCTACAACCTTTTTTGTTCTTCTGACAATATGTTATTAGCTTCTATGTGTTCATAAATGGTTTCAGTTAAGCAAGATGTAATTATTTTGTACAATGTTTGTAAACATGTGATAGGTCTATATTTTGCAGGATTGTCAAGATTACTAGGCTCTTTTGGTATCATATACGTTATTCCTGAACTAATGTATTGCGGCAAAGTATGCGGGCTTTGTATGAATTTATTAACAAAATTAAACAGAACCGGGTGGATAGTTGTAAACTTTTTATACCAATAGTTATGTATATTATCTGATCCAGGTGTTTTCCAATTATGCAGTTTTTTAATTACTTTATGGAAAGTGTCTATCTTGATGTGTTGAAATTGCATGGCTTTAATCTGTGATGTGTCTATTTGATTTTTGATCCAATCCGCTTCTGTATTATAATGTTTAGGTTCTTCCCATATTGTAGCCCAGTAACTTTGTAATTCTCTCGGTGATGGTAAGATATTATTTTCGGAGCTTTTCAAACTGCTGCTTTTATTTTTAAAAGGATTTTTTATATTACGGTAGAAAAGTTTTTCATTTGAGCAAAATAGAATGTTTTGAGATTTTCGTAGAGAGCATGCTCTATATATCTTTTTAACCGACTACTAGTAAGTTTTAGTTTTTGTTTAAGTGTGTCTAAAAAATGTTCGTGTTTGGTGTTATGTTCTTCGTGGGCAGAATGAATTTTATGTTGTTCGAGTATAGAATTTACGTGTTTGATTAATTTTTGACCTCGGTTTCCATTAATATATTGTGTTAGCCTTGCAATTTTTGCTCTTAATTCACTTACTTTGTTTTTTAATCTTTGTTCCCACTTTGGCTTATTATATTTCTTTTGTTTCTCAGGTCCTAACGGATTATCAACTTGTATAGCTATTTCAATTTTAGCTCCGTTGAGCTTAGCTGAAGTCCATGCTGCACAGTACACTAAATTCTGAAATGTTTTAAATTCAATTTCGCTGTTGATATATTGTGGCAATAAAATATTGTTTACATAGGCAACTATTTTACTCAATTTCTTTGATGACCTCTGCTTTGGTATAAATTGTCTCTCTGTTGGGTTTGTATTAGCAAAATATTCTAAAGCTTTAGCAAACATTTCATCTATGGCAATTATCTTTTCCCTATGTAAATTTTCATTTTCATTTGTTGTGTGGTTTTCAGCATTTAAATCTAAACTTTCTGTATCTGGTTCTTCGTTGTCTGTGATACCTATCTGAAGTATTGAGTTGTCATTGGCTTGTATATCGTTATGCTGTTCTTGCAAGTCATTCTTAATTAATTCTAAGCGGTCAACACTTAAATATTTCTTATGTAGAATTAATCTTCTTTGGTCAGCTATGCGTTGCTCTGTAAAATGATTAAATGGGGGAATTGGTTTATAAACTCTTGGTGTAAGAGTTTCCTATATGCTATTTTATTTTTCTCACATTGAGTTATTTTGTAGTATATTCTTATTATAGCTTCATTATATTCGTCTGTCCATTTCATGCGTTGTTATGTTTGTAAAGGGTGGGTATTAGTGTGTTGATTATTTTGTGTAACAGAGATTGATTGGGCAAATGTAGTCTGTAAATTTGATTGCACTTCATTATAAATTTGATTTACTATTTCTTGGGGCAAAAGTTTGTTATTCATTATCGCTCTTCGCTGATCTCCTATTCTTTGACGAGTAACTTGCATATCTGGGAATCGTTCTATAAATTTCATGTGTAATGGTTGTAAATAACCTTTAGTGTCAGTATCCATCATTGTTAAATAGAGGTAAGTACGCAATATAAATTCATTCATTTCAGAAGTCCATTTTTTACGCGTGTTACGGTTACTGATGGTGGGCACAGTTTCTATAACAGGAGTTATTTTCTGTGCATCATCCTTCAGCAATTGGCTACTTGATGATAATGAAGAAGATAAAGACTGGTGTAAAATGTTTGGTATTGATTTTTGTCTATCGTTTCCGGGGGTATATAAACTATCACTATCACTAAGGGTATCGGTGTCCGTGGATCTCGCTTGAGTCGTTTGACGGGAAATCTTCCTCGCCCGGAGATTGTATGCGCCCCAAGATACAGCACCATCTCGGCTTCCGCCAGAGTCGACATGGTTACTGAATCTGCCGGGCACTGGGGACCGTAGTTTACGCCGTGCACTCATTATTTTAAACCTGGTTTGGAATCGTTAGTTGGGAAAGGGTCATTAAATATTAATAGGCATAGAGATTCTCTGCCTTGTTATTGTTACAGACTATAGTTGTTCAGACTGCAGTTGAGTACATGCCTTTCCCTTAAGCCCCCCCACCACGACAAGGTGATCCCGTAGGGGGGTTATTATTATTATGTGGGGTATCTATATAGTTTTCTCATCTGGTTGGGATGTATAAATATATCATTATATACGAAAAATATAATTATAAACGAAAATGAAAAGATAAATATACATAAATATCAATAAAATAAAATAAATAAAAAAATACATAAATAAATAAAAGCCCAACCAGATGGAAGCCCTCGGCAGGGGAGACCAAACGGCCGAGGGTTAGGGGGAAAGGGAAAGAAACCGGTGGACGATGCGGGCGGTATCGAGGAGCACCGCCTTCTGCATTTGAGCCTGGAGCGGTCCGCCACGTAGTCCCAGCCGCCTCAGATGACCCGAGAGGCTGAATGGGATTAGCCCGTTTGCAGAGACGACTACAGGAATAATTTCGGTCGGCAGACCACCCCACATGTCGGTCACCTCGTGAGCCAGGTCCAGATATTTTGTTTGCTTATCTGTTTCGGCTTTCACGAGGTTCTCGTCACACGGAATGGTAATGTCGACCAAAAATATCCTTGACTGTGCCCGGTCCATCAGCACAATATCAGACTTATTCGCAAGAATAGTCCTGTCTGCGATGATGGCCCGGTCCCAATAGAGCCTGGCGCGATCATTTTCGAGCACGGCTTCCGGCAAGTACTTGTAATACGGCAACTTCCGATCCACGAAACCGTATTTCAGAGCGAGCTCCTGGTGTGGAATTGTGGCTACTAGGTTGTGCCTGTGCAAGTACTCAGAGTTAGAAAGCGCCGAACAACCGGAGATGACATGCCTAAGTGACTCACCGGGATGGCGATAAGCTCGACAGATGTCGATGGTGCCATCCTTTAGGATGTATCTCCGATAGTTGTTGGTCTTAATAACCTGATCCTGTATTGCACAGACAAAACCCTCGGTTTCCCCGAAGAGGTCACCAAAGCGTAGCCAGTGGAGGGAGGTTACTGTGTCTACGAAAGGCCCATGTAGAGACTTGTAGAACCTCCCGTGGAGCTCCTTCTCCTTCCATACGGTCTCCCGGTCGGAAATTGTCTGCACTGCCGGGTCTTGCCATTGCTCGTTGGCTAAGGATAGAGGGGTAAGCCCTTTATCACAAGAAATGACGTCCTTATAGAAGGATCATCCGATCTCGCCAGGAAGTAATTACGGAGGCTGCACACTTCGCGATTATGCACGGTGAGCGCGCTCAAGAAGCCACGCCCACCATGCTTTCGCGGCAAGTACAGCCTCATTACCGACGATCTCGGATGATGCATCCTGTGGGACGTCATGGTAGTGTGGACTTTTCTATCCAGGGCGTTAAGTTCAGTCTGAGTCCACCCGAGTATGCCAAAGGTATACATGAGGACAGGCATGACCCAGCCGTTATATGCTTGTGTCTTATTCACACCGGACAAAAGGCTGTTAAGCACTTTGGTCAAGCGTGCATAAAACATTTCGCAAACTGACTGTTTCATACCAGCCTCATCGATACCGATGTTCTGTGACATACCCAGGTATCGGTATGTTTCAGCCTCGGAAAGGGTCCTTAAGTTGACGGGCATAGATAAGTCTATGCCCTCAGAGTTAGCAACCCTACCTCTCTCAATATGGAGTACCGCACACTTATCGGTCCCCAGCTCCATTCCAATGGAATTGCTAAATTCACAAGTGATGTTTAGCAATTCCATAAGATGGGAGCGACTGGAGGCGAATTACTTGAGGTCATCCATATAGAAAAGGTGGGTCACTTTTGTCCCTCCTTTCCGTAGCTGAAATCCCCTCCCGGAGCCCTCCAGTAAGGTACTGAGAGGGTTCAGAGAGAGGCAGAACCATATTGGACTCAGACAGTCGCCCTGGAAGATACCCCTTCTTATCCTTATGTGGTTCTCCGCAGCCATCATCCGCTCGCCCAGATGACAAAGGATCGTACTCCACTGCCCCATACACTGCTCGAGGAAGTCTCTAACTGTACAGTCTATCTTGTACAGCTCGAGGACTCTCTTTAGCCATGTATGGGGCACCGAGTCGAATGCCTTTCTGTAGTCTATCCAGGCGGCGGAGAAGTTCCGACGGTTGCGTTTCACCACTTTGCCAATGACCGCGTCAATGAGGAGTGGTTCCTTGGTTCCACGACCGCCGCCCCGACATCCATTTTGAGCGCGCGACATCACCTGATTTCAGTCCAGGTGACGAGTGATTCTCGCGCTCAAAATGGATGTTAGTGTCTTGTATATGGTCGGTAGACATGTGATGGGGCGGTATTTGCTCGGGTCTGTGGTACCCTGGTCTTTAGGAACCAAATGGGTGATCCCAGTAGTGAAGAGGCTCGGGAGCGACTTCTGGTTGAGAGCCTCTTGAAACTGTCGGGCGAGCACAGTGTGACACACCACGAACCCCTTCAGCCAGTAGTGATGCAGCCCGTCGAGTCCCGGACTTTTCCAGTTCGGGGCCCTACGGACCGCCTCAGCTACGTCATCCGGCGTTATGGTGACGGGGTCCATGGGCGTAATACCAGCACACGCACTCGCTACAACTTCCGTCCAAGGCCCTCGCTGTAGTTTACGGGCTCTGACCACAGGCCGTGCCAGAATGCGACAGTGTCGGCCTGATTCGGTACTGGGCCCGTTCCACTTACCATTGGTCGCTCCAATGATTTATAGAGCCTCTTCTGATCACTCTGGAAGAGACGATTCTGGTTGAACCGTGTCGACCTCTCGGTATATCGCCGAATCCGCTTTCCCCAAGCAGCGATTCTCTGCTTCAGGTCGTCTATGCGCTCCGTCAGTTTTTGCATTATATCCGGCTGGGACAAACTAACATTTGTCCCAGCAAACGCCATCCTGATGGTGCGCACAATCCTTGGCCTGGTATTGCCTGACCTGAAGCATATCAGTCTGCCGATGAGGGCCCTAGCCTTTGCGATACGTTCTTCAATTCTTGTTCTCCAGGCTGGGATAGCGCTACTTTGTTCAGTAGTGCGTCCAGCCGTGGAAAGTTTGGCGCCTATAATACGGCAGACTGCCAGTGCGGCGCCAAAGAGAATTGAGTCCGTCTCGCAAAGGTCCCGGCTGGCTTCCAAATAGGTCACCAGCATTGGGTTCAGAGCTCTCACGACAGCCCGATTCCGCTTGCTTAGGGCTATGCGGGGAAGTCGCGGTCGATTTTCGAGAGGCGTACTGCGCGTTTCCATAATCGCCTCTTCCAATGTACTCCTCATTTGCTCTATTTCTAGTTCCTGGGTGACTGTTCCATCATCGTTTGAATCAGCAACAACTGGGGCATTCACGGCGGCATCTACGTGTGCGGGTTGCTCTGCAACTTGTGGAGCCGTACCCCCAGCCTTAGCGTTTTCATTTGATGAGGGAACAGCCTCACGTCGTAGCCGTTCGAGTTCGGCGACATCAAATATATTTGAGCGTAAGATATACCGAACTCGGTCTGCCAGGTTTTGCTCGGTGACAGTAATAGATGGCTCCAGCTCAGTAAAAAGACGATGCATCCTAGCCCGATACGCGAAACCTCCAATTTCTCCCCCTTTCGCCCTAAAATACGCCCGCAATGCGTTTGTATTCATATTGATGGTCCATCGCATGCGGCGTACTCCACCAGTGGCGGGTGCCGATTGCTGGGTCTGCGAAGACCCTGCCGACACCAAGCAAGCTGGTGGGGATGATGGATGCCATCATCGACTTAGATAGCCATAATGAGCGTGAAATCAACGTTTTTAAATACAGATTTATCTATTGTTAGTTGAATCGTACCTTGATCCTTCAAACAATACATAAGTGGAATATTATAATTTAGTGGTGCTTGTTTAAACTCATAGATAGATTTGTTCAACAAACATACTTTTCCTTGTTGATCTTCAAAACCTTTAGGTTTTTATCAATATTTTCATTGAGAAATGCAGCAGTTATGTCAAACTGCGTGTATATTTTACCAGTTGCTTCAGAATAGGCCAGAATCAACTTCAATGTATTCATTCACATAAGGGACATTGTGTCATTCTAGTCAAAACCTTTTTTCTGTTGACAACCCTTCGCTACAAGGCGGGTTTTGATTTTTCCAGAATATTTTTAAGTGAAAAATCCATCTACTGGAAAGTAGTTTTCAGTTGGAATAAAAGTGGAAAACTACATTTTTCATCAGTGATGATTTCTAATTATCAAACCCTTCCTTAAATTTTTCTTTAAAGGTCCTGTAATTGCTTCTGAATTTTGATCATCCTGTCGGTTTTTGCTTGTTTAATTTTCATGCTAGGTGAAAGCGACGGAGTGGACTAATACGTTGTATGATTGTATCATCAGGTTGCAAAAGTTTGGAGTGTTCATAGGATTGACTGGATCAGCTGGTATCTTCACACATTTGTTGCAAGATTTTCTTTATTTTCATTTATGGTAAGCATTTTATATATACTCTTACCGTCATCATCGTTCTTCTTCGTTCTATCTAATTCTATATAATCTGTAGCCTGTATTAAAACATAACATAAACACTCATGCCTGTCACCCAGAGGGGTAGGCAGAGACTACAGACTTCCATTTAGCACGATCCTGACATACCTCTCTCGCCTCTTCCACATCCATATACCTACGCATACATGCTCGTCGGTTAAGGGTACTCTTAATTTGGCCCATTTTTAGTATATCGCTAATTTGGTCGACAAACTTCCGCCTAGGACGTCCCTTTCCGACTCTTCCATTCACTTCTGCAACATATATTTGCTTTGTCAGTCTTTCCTCATTCATTCTTTGTACATGACTAAACCACCGAAGCGTTCCTTTCTTAATCCTGGTCACCGTATCATCTTGAAAACCACACTCTTCTTTTATCACACAGTTTCTCACCCTGTCACTCAGATTCAGCCCTAACATACTCCTTAGCGACCGCATTTCTACTGCATTTATTCTACTCTCGTGCTTCTTCTGCCACACCCAACTTTCACTACCATACGTTAAAGTAGGGACTAATACAGCATTGTGAATTTCCATACCTACGTGCCTTTTTTGACACATTCTGACTTTTCACAATAGAGTGTAGAGCCCCATTTACTTTACTTCCTGCATTCACTCGTCGTTCAATATCCCTATCACATCTCCCATCCCTGCTGAATACACATCCCAAATATACGAACTCATCCACTTGCTCAATTAACTCTCCTTCTATTCTAATTTCACATACCGTTTTGCTTTCTTCTCTTTCAAAAACCATCACTTTCATCTTACTTGCGTTCACTTTCATTCCCCTTTCTTTTAATGACCTGTTCATTAATGTAACCATCATTTGCAACTCGGCCGCCGACGACGCAAGTATGACTTGATCATCGGCGTACAAAAGGCATTTGATGGTTAACTCACCCATTCTTAACCCGCATTCTTCAACTTTCAAATTTTCCTAACAACTGTCTATAAATAGGTTGAACAGCCACGGGGAAGCTACACAGCCCTGTCCGATACCTTTATGGATGCCAAACCAGTCCGAGTAGGCCCCGTTGCTTCTAACACAAGCACCCGAGTCCCTTTACAGAGACTTTAATGCCTGTATTAAACCAGCGCTCAACCTAAATGTGTTCAGCGTTTGCCATAACACATCCCTGTCCACTCTGTCATAAGCCTTTTCCAAGTCCATGAATGCACAAAAAACTTTTTGGTTTTTCGCCAAAAATTTCTCCGCGATCATGCGCATGGAAAAGACTTGATCTGTACACCCCATTCCCTTTTTAAAGCCCGCTTACACATCCCAAATTTTTTTCATCAGTTTCTTTCATAACTCTTTCAATTAGTACCTTAGCATACAGTTTTCCCACAATGCTAAGAAGGCTGATACCACGTTAGTTTTTACAGTCCTGCTGTGACCCTTTTCCCTTATATATTGGGACTATCACGGCTTTGCACCAGTCTCCCGGTACCCGCTTTAGTTCCCAACATAAATTAAACAAGGCCTGCCACCACGTCCTCTCCAGCCCTTAGCATTTCGAGTGAAACTCTATGATATCCGGCTGCCTTACCTACTTTCATGCTTTTAATAATTAAAGCAATTTAATTATTTCATCTATACTTATCTCCATATCTCTTTCATCTTCTTTCGGAATTTCTATTTCATTTAGTTTACACGTCTCCTCACTCATAAATACGCTTTCAAAATATTCCTTCCATCTCTTTAGACTCAACACTTTATCATTCAGAATTCAGCCATTCTCGTCTGTATTACTATACTAAATAGATTAGGTTTCTGCTTCTTGGTTAGAGTTTCTTAAAGTGACCGTGAGCCAAAGATCTGCAAGTTTTTAAGGTCAGGTTTCTCATTTAACCACATTCCATGAGGAGTTTTTCATCAACAGCCTAGCCAACCAGCATAGAGCTTCTCCCCTATTATATTCTTTATATTTCTTGCAACTTCTGATTTTGTTTTAGAAGTTAACTACTAAATAGTGTTATTTTCTGAAACCAATATCTTCTTCAAATACCTACGTTGTCCCTAGCTTACGTACCATAAGTACCATCATTTCTTCTTGCGCTTTAGAAAAAGATAGTGTCAGGCCCCATTGTACAGTTTATTGGGGTCTTACCTACTACTACTACCTACTACTATTATTATACAGCGTTAGTCGAGGCACCCCAAACGATTTAGCAGCAATAGCATCCATACTTCAATTCATTGCGAACAGCTTCAATTGCTATGTTATATATTCGGGCGTATAGTTTTTTTCTCGGAGCCATCTGAAAAAGACATAAAAAGCAGTTGTGGGGAAAGTATCAAATAAAACCGGCTATAATCCTTAAAACCATGTTGATACGGCGGGATAATTTATATATCATATGGATAATTTGTAAATAAATTATTTCTGACATTTCAATACCTAAAGAAAAAATAATTGAGAAAAGTATACACTCACCCTCTTAATAATTTTTAGTAAAATTGGTTGTTCTATACGAGCACCAACAGGGTTTAATGTTTACCTCGCCATTATGAAACTAAAAATGGCCGATCACAGTGACGTATTTTGTGAGCCTAATAGGAATTCTGCTGTGTATGGTTAAGTGCTGTCATAGCAAAATTTCAATCTGCAGTGCTTGTTTTTTTTGTAAAAAGAGGTAAAAACTGTTCATCAATGAGTTCTTGTCCAACACTGGTTCTTCCACCTTACTCATTTCCTTTATAATCATGGAGTATAGATGTAAGGAGAACAATCTCCTATAGGATAATAGTTGAAAATGTGTCCATCTGTAAGCAGTAAATAACAGTTCAAAAATTCTTCTCAACAGCGCTCGAGTAGCTACAGGGTAATATGGTAAAATACGTTGAGAGTGATTTTGAAAATAAAAATGTTGAAAGCAATAAAATAATTATTGTAAAAAGAATTATAATGAAAGTCTGTGCAATAATAAATTATAAAAAGTTATTTAAAATTTAGAATGTAGCTACAGTGGTGCCACCCTGAATTAACGCTTCCCTACGGACACCTTTTTATACAGAGTCTGTACTCCTTAACTCTGCACTCCATACTATAAATGACATTCCTGAGAGTAATATAAGCAAACATTTTAAACGTGAAAAATCAGTATATTGTGATGAAGTAGTTAAAGCTATTATTTCTTCTGTGAAGCTAATAACTTCTAAAAAGGCATAATTCTTTGTTATATTTCCGCTGACCTGATTCCCATTTGAATGACTTAGAAGTTTTCTTATCACATCCCTTCCTTCCTCGACATCTTGAAAGTTAGGCGCTTTGATTTTCCATTTCAGTATCTGAATACGAGTCTAACTCATTATTTCTATCGATTTCTGAGAAATATAAGACCGATCACCCCGGACATTGACAAATGCCTATTTACCCGCAGACTAGTGACACTAGTAATTAAAATTCGTGTAATACCTACTTTAGAACTCTAGGACTTCCTATATCGGTAGAAAATAGATTCCATAATTTTCTGTCGATATAGGTTTATTATATCTAGCTAAGTTTTACTTCGTATTTAACTGTAGGGTGCGTAAATGTCTTAGTCCTCAAAGGTGATGACACATCTGTAGTCTTCTTTTAAGTAAGTTGCAGGTGTCCATGAGCTGCAGTAGCCACCAAGTGGACTATGAGTTCGGTTGTCACTTCAATATTATAAAAATCCCTTATCAACTTACCTCTTCTCTAGTTAAGGAACCTTGAGTTTTTTTAACCAATTTGTAACAGTGTAGTGTCGAGAAGATTTGCCGGAAACTCCCGAGCGCTGCCCGACCTCCCAGTCGAAGTTGAACTTACAAGTCCGACAACTTTGTCCCAGGTAAACCTACCCGTCGACAACTTAGAGCATAGTGCCCCCGACAATTACCGGAAAAACTTTAAAACATAGATGTGACATGGACTTTAAACATAACCTATCTCGTAACCTATCTAAAAATATTGTTACGAGTTTGAGGTTCTTGACAATAAAAATTGCCGATAAAATTACCTAAATTAACACTTTAATTTACTTTACACAAATTAAAGTTAAAAACACTAATAAT